TTCCTCAGTGGAACAGGCTTCCTCGGGAGGTGGTGGGCTCTCCTTCCTTGGAGGTTTTCAAACAGAGGCCAGGTGGCCATCTGACAGCAATGCGGATTCTGTGAACTGAGGCAGATCATGAGAGGGAGGGGAGGGAGGGTTGCCTCAGGGCTTAGTTCTCGTGGCTCTTTCTTACACGTCCAGGGAAATGCTGAATGCCACTTTGGGGTCAGGAAGCCATTCTTCTCCAGGCCAGTTTGGCCGGAGATCCTGCAGGTTTTTTGTCGTCTTCTGGGCATGGAACAGCGGTCACTGCGGGTGGGGTGGGAGAGGTATTTGTGAATGTCCTGCCTTGTCAGCAGGGGGTTGGACTAGATGACCCTGGAGGTCCCTTCCAACTGTGAGTCACCCCTCACTTCTTCAGATGCCTGTGAGGTAGGTTAGGCTGAGAATATGCGACTGACCCAGACGCTGGCTACAGATCTACAGAATGAATAAGTAAACGGCAAAGTCCCCCCAGAAGTTTCCCCAGTCAGCTTTTTGGTCTGCAAGTTCCACAGCAGGAGTCAGCAGTTGGGTGTCTCTAGACCAGGGGTCCCCAACCCTTTTGAGCCGGTGGGCAGTTGATCCTAACAAGCGACCAGTCTGCTCTCAAACAGCCTCCTGACATACCAACCAGTGCTCCCTCTAAGCTGTGGAGTCTTGCGAGCAAAAATTCTCCTTTGTGAGTTGCAATTTGGCTACTGCTCTGGAGACATCCTTCCTGAGCTAAGAATCATAGAATCATAGAATGTGAAAGTTGGAAGGGACCTTGCAGGTCATCTAGTCCAGCCCCCTGCACTCTGCAGGAGCACAGCCGAAAGAGAGCCCTGCATACCTACAACATACCTGAAAGAGGGTCGTCCAGCCTCCGCTTGAAAACGTCCAGCGAAGGAGCCTCCACCCCCTCCCGAGGCAGCCTGTTCCACTGCTCAACCACTCTGACAGTTAGGAAGTTTCTCCTGATATCTAGCTGGTAATGACTCCCTTGTAATTTCCAGCCATTAGATCTAGTCTTGCAATCCGGAGCAAGAGAGAATAGATCCGCTCCATCTTCTACATGACAGCCCTTCAGATACTTGAAGACTGCAATCATGTCCCCTCTAAGCCTCCTCTTTCCCAGGCTAAACATATCCAACTCTTTCAGCCTTTCCTCAGAAGACAAAAATGTGTGAGCCAGAGGCTAAAAAACTGGGAACTAGCTCACACTAACTCAGCTTAGAGGGGACACTGATACCAACGTGTGATTTTTTCCCCCCAGCGACTTTGTCAGATGAAGACTGGAAGCCCCGACTTCCCGCCTACGACTTCCTGAGCCGGATGGCGCCCTCCCTGCCCGAATTTACCATTTACAGTTGGCGGAGCAACCAGCGGGAAGAGGGGGCGGCCGTCCCTGGAGACGACAAGGTGGTAGAGGTGCGGGAGGACCCCGTTGAGGACTCCGCCATGGCCGAGCCGGAAAAGGAGCTGCCGACAGGCAGGGACTTGCGGGGGACAGCCCCACGCCTGGCCGCGAGGGAAAAGCAGGCGAAGCGCCATGTGGAGTTGTGATGTGGCCCATAATCCCAGGGCAGCGGGTGGTTCCGGAAGCCAGGGGTGGTCGTACCTGACTAGAAGGAAGTTGGAAGCTATTCCCTTCCGGGCTCCTCCAGTAGACCTGGCTGTGAGCCTGCTGTGATGTGGGTCAAAAAGTGGGGACTCCATTGTAGGGTTGCCAGTCTCCAGGTGGGACCTGGAGATCTGGAAACACAGCCAGTGCTGTTAAGGATATAAAAAGAGCCCTGCTGGATCAGTTGCAAGACGAGTGGGGGAGTCAAACCCGGTTCTCCAGATTAGAGGCCACCGCTCTTAACCACTAGGTTGGCCCCTGTGTGAGGCAGGATGCTGGGCTAGGTGGACCCCTGGTCTGGTCCAGCAGGGCTCTTCTGATGTTCTCATGAAGGCCTCGGCCTCCCTGCCCTGTTTGTTGGCTCTCTTTGGCAACTGGTTGGCCACTCTGTAAGACAGGATGCTGGACTAGACGGACTACTGGTCTGATCCAGTTGGACTTTTCTGATGTTCTTATCAGGGGAAGGCCTCGGCCTCTCTGCCCTGTTGTTGGCCCTCCAGAGGAACCGGTTGGCCTCTGTGTGAGACAAGATGCTGGACCTGGTGGACCCCTGGTCTGATCCAGCAGGGCTCTTCTGGTGTTCTAATGAAGGCCTCGATCTCTGTGCCCTGTTGTTGGCCCTCCAGAGGAACCGGTTGGCCCCTGTGTGAGACAGGATGCTGGACTAGATGGACAACCGGTCTGATCCAGCAGGGCTCTTGATATGTTTTTATCAGGGGAAGGCCTCAGCCTCTCTGCCCCGTTGTTGGCCCCTGTGTGAGACAGGATGCTGAACTAGGTGGACCACTGGTCTGATCCAGCAGGGCTCTGTCGTCTTAACTTGTAGATAACCCCAGTTAGGTACTGGTTGACGCTTCAACAGCAATGGAGGATACATTTATTTATTTATTTATACCCCTCTTTCCGCCCCAGCTGGGATTCAAAGCAGCTTAGAACATGGTTCTCCCCTCCTCCATTCTCTCACAACAACCCCCCTGTGAGGTAGGCCAAGCTGAGAGGTCACCCAGTGAGCCTCCTTGGTAGAAGGGAGGATTCGAACCCAGGTTGCCCGGGGCCCTAGTCCGCCACTGTATCCGCTACAGCAGTGGCTCAGACCAAGCATCTTCACAGTCGAGGTGTGATTTCTGTCTTGTATCGAAATACTTTACTAATAAAAGACTGCCAAAGAGAACGGTCGTGTTTCTCCGTGTATTCTGCAACCCGTGACGTGATTGGTCCAAATTTTGGGGTGGAGTAGGTTATCACGGCTCCCCAGTTTGCAATCTTGGGAGGTAGGTCAGCATTGAGACTTGGCTGTGAAATCACAGCCGTGACCAGCACATCTGCTGGGTGATAGTGAGATATTGAAAAAATGGTATTGAGCAGAGATAAGATGGTCCAGCAGAGCCTGAGTAAGATAATTCAGACTCAGAATCCATGTGTGATTAAAATATAAAGTTTTTACTAAATTCTAGCATGGGGAAGGGTAACTGGGATGAAAATAACAACAGAGCAGAGTCTACTACATCCTTACTCTACAAAGACAAAACTAGAAGAGAGAGATTATGGCTACTCTTTCTTGTTCTTCAGAACACCAAAACAAAGACGGGAAGAGAAGCCATAAAATGGTAATATATTTTGACACTTTAGTCCCAATCAAATTCCTAGATCAGGGAGAAAATTCCCGGGCATTCTACAGCTAAAGAACATTGGTTACATGAGAAACATGTGACTTCCTGTGAGTAACATAAACATTTAACCCCAGATATACTGAATGTTTTTACCTTTTAATACCCAACAACATCACCCTCTTCCTCTTGCTGGAATTAGAGGACGACAGAAATCCTCATCATGCGCCGATGCCTGAGCTGTTGTAACGTACAAATGTGACAGACAGGTGTGATTAAGCCCCCCATTGTAGCCCCCAATCCATATAGGAGCCCCCCCCCACACACAGAAAAGACTACCGTGGCTAGATTCCTTGTGGAGGATGTCATCTCCTATCCTTGCCCTCAATCTCTGGGCCTCTGGTGGCATTTGGTCCTTGTCATCTGCTTAAGAACATAAGAGAAGCCATGTTGGATCAGGCCAAAGGCCCATCCAGCCCAACACTCTGTGTCACAGAGTGACCAAAAACCAGGTGCCCTCAGGAGGTCCACCAGTGGGGCCAGAACTCCAGAAGCCCTCTGTCACGCCTGTACCCGACCCGGCACCTGGGAGCTCTGAAACTCAGGACTCCGTGCCTTTAACATCATCAGAAGCACGAGAGTCCTCACCAAACCTAAGTGCCGGGGAGGATGAACGCCAAACCCCAGGACAGTTTGCACCTGAAGCCGATCAGGCAATGCCTGGCCCCAGCAACACGCCACCCGATTCTCTGCCACCTGTTGACCAGCTGAGGAATCAGAGACGTGGGGATTTGGCAACCAGGCACAAGGAGGCGATCATTAAGCCCAGATTACTAACAGAATCAATGACTTCGCGAAGCCGTGCTAATGAGATAACGACTGTATAGAAATATTGATTTCTAAAGGTTTCATGTCTTCCCCTGGAATGTCTTCTGCTGATACCCTGCTGGGTTGATTTCCTATTGAAGCCATATGGCCTCGATAGCCCTGCCATATAACCCTCCATTCTTCACACTTCCATGCTGGCAGAAGACCAGATGGCCCTAGCGAACACGTACGCCATGGGGTGGTGGGAATTTGGGGACCACATGACTGCAGGTGTGGCCTTCAAGAATACTGATCATTCAGATGTTGTCCCCGTGGCAACCCAACAATTGGACACTCCCGTGTCTACTCCAATTGGCCCCTGGCCAGGGCTAGTTGGGGGACTGGGATTGCCCTATATCTAGTCATTCCCAGTGAGAGGAACTCTCTCTCTTCTGTTCCTGTTATCTCTGCTGCTCTGTGTGCTGTCCACCTGAAATGCTGTCCTGCCATGTGGTCTCTGGCAGAGACAAAGAGCTGCTTTGGAACTGAGCACATGGCTGAATACTTGCAGAGATGGACTTCTTGCTCCAAACCTCTTGGGGCTACTGGATTATTACAAATGGACTATTCTGGACTGATAACTGTTCCTGACTTGGTAAATACGCATCTCTAATGTGTAGTTAAAGGCAAAACATTGCCTAGCCTTTGTTATTTTTAAATCCTTCTAGTCTGTGCTAAATTCTATACTGAATAAACTTATTCTGGTTTTCTAACTTGTCTGGTTTGATAGGTAACTGAATCTCAAGCCTAGATCTTGCAGCCTAACCCGCTGACCATATACGCTACCTAGGTAAAAGTTTGCTCCTCTGAGTAGAGTTGCTAATGTGTAAAACCCACATCCCAGCTGAGATTGTGGATCTCTAATCTCAGGCTGGCGAGGGATTAAGTAGAGATCCTGGTGGCTATAGTGTTCTGAAATCCAGAGAGCCTACCTTTCTGGGTTATTGTGTAATGTATTGAGCCAGTGTAGAGTTTTCCCCTCCATCCCTGGACTGGCCTGGGGGGCAGAATCTATACAACAACCCAGCACGCTATTTGAACAGACCGCTGGGTGCTAGCAAACTGTGCTGGCAAACTTGTTCGTTGGACGAGAAGCTCTGCACCTATGACTTTGTCTAGCTCCCGCCTGCTTTTCCCGGTTCCTGACTCCAGTCCGCGTTTTGACGACCCCTCTGGCTCTTGATCCTCGGCTACGCTTCCTGACTACGATACTGGCTTGCTTGGACTCTATCGGTAACGTTTGGCTACGGCTCGGCTTTGTGTGCTTGGGACTTTTGCTCGGACTCTTTTGATCTCTCTGGCTTGACTCTTGGACAGGACTGTAGACTCTCCCTCTCTGCCTTGCCCCACTGGCCCTGTCGTGACACCCCCCACTGTTGCCCCCCCAAGCACCAAGAAGACAGAGCATCACTTGCCCCAGACATAAGAACATCAGAGAAGCCGTGTTGGATCAGGCCCATCCAGTCCAACACTCTGTGTCACACAGTGGCCAAAACCCAGGTGCCATCAGGAGGTCCACCAGTGGGGCCAGAACTCCAGAAGCCCTCCCACTGTGACCCTCCAAGCACCCAAGAAGACAGAGCATCACTGTCCCAGACAGATTCACGTGGTCCGAAGCAACAGAACCGAGCTTGAGTCCAGTGGCACCCTTAAGACCAACCAGTTTAGTTCTGGGCATTCTGAAGAGTGCACGCGAAAGCTTATACCCAGAATTAAACTGGTTGGTCTTAAAGGTGCCACTGGACTCAAGCGTTGTTCTGTTGCCCCAGACAGAGTGTTCCATCTATACCTTGTGGCTAATAGCCCTGATGGACCTCTGCTCCATATGTTTCTCCAGTCCCCTCTTGACGCTGTCTATGCTTGTAGCCGCCGCCACCTCCTGCGGCAGTGAATTCCACATGTTCATTAATCTGGGAGAGCCGGGTTTGATTCCTCCCGCCTCCACGTGCAGCCAGCTGGGTGGTTTTGGGTCAGTCACAAGTTCTCTCAGAGCAGTTTCTCTCAGAGCTCTCTCAGCCCCACCTGCCTTACGGGGTGTTGGCTGTGGGGAAAGGAAAGGAGATTGTGAGCCGCTCTGAGACTCTGAGTGAAGGGCAAACCGTCTTCTTTGGGAGAAGGACGTACTTCATCTGAAGTTCTAAGCCTCTTGCTCATTCCTTTCGTTACCTTTACTATTCTCACATATGTTATAAATTGTTAGGCACCTTGGTGGCCCTTGTGAGGCCGGATTTTTTGTTGTTGTTCAGTCGCACAGTCGAGTCCGACTCTTCGCAACCCCATGGACCAGATCCCACCAGGCCTTCCTGTTTTCCGCCATCCTCTGAAGTTGGCTCAACTTCATGTTCGTTGCATCTATGACACTGTCTCACCATCTCATCCTTTGCCGTCCCCGTCTTCTTTGACCTTCAATCTTTCCCAGCATCAGGGTCTTCTTCTCCAGGGAGTGCTCCCTTCTCATTGGGTGGCCAAAGTATTTGAGCTAAGTAATAATAAACTACAATAATTCTCTGGTGCCAGCCGTGAGGGGGAGAGTGTGTCTCACAACAAGGGTAAACCTGCCGTATCTCTTCCTGACACTGCCATGTCGTCATTTCAACCAGGGAAGGAGTCTTTGGTAGGAAGGGAAGCAGCCGTCCATGTTCCCTCGGAAAGGTCCCAAGTTGCTCCTAAAACACCGCAGAGATACAAAAGCCAAAAATACTAATGTGTGAGGGCAACCGTGACTCCTGAGGAAA